GAGAGAGACAACAATTAGTACCAGTAAATGATCTGGCGTTAGCTTTCCAGTCCTAAGTTATACAGAAGATCATCAAAAAGAAATACCCTGGTGTGCTGGCAAAGAGGGATGAAACCTCAATTGAAAAAGTCCTGCTTGTTGTGGGAAGAGAAAAAAATAGACTGAAAAGGGACAAAATATTGCTTTCAATGAGGTAAAAAACAGCTTCAGAGGTAAGGAAGAAGAAGGGAAATAGCTAATGTCAAGATTCTCAGGGAGCTCTTGCAAATTAAGTATCCGTATTTCACCGAGTCATGTAATGGACAAGAACTGACGAAGGGAAAGCTGCTTCCACCTAGTGATGAAGTCCAATGAATTTTAATTTAACGAAGCAACATTTCTTAATTGTGACCTGCTTCGGAAAAGAACTTTTGAATTGAAATTGTTATTTCAGCCATCATCAATGAGTTGGCATACTTGGACACAAAATATTAACGAAGGAAGATAAAGGCAATTGCATCAAATTTCAAGATGTGAAAGTTGTGACGATAATAGTTTGTGTTCCAATTATTTTCTTACAGGCTTAACCCTGAACCCCTCACTCATTTTTTTGTATTAAAATTTTCCACTGAACTCAAATCTGATTTTCATGACTGTGTCTAGGAGATTTGCTGGAGAAAGGGTTTCAGGCCCAAACTCTTCATCATTAAAAAGACCAAGAACTCTTTTAACTATCATAAACACTGCCAACAAGTTCTGAGAGTGAATTTAATACTGGTCAAAGAGAAAGAGATCTCAGGTAAAAGCAGAGTTGGGATTCACAAATCTTCTCAAACTCAGGCAGGACAGATGCGAAGGTCACCCACCGTCCTTTACTTGGGAAGCCAGGCGCCAGTTCCATGGTGCTGCACTCGTTAGCAGCCAGAGCTAAATCTGAGCGAGACCGGGAAACGGTCATAGCATGGCCTAAGCTACGCCCAACAGCTATTTCACATATTATGCCAAGTCTGAAGAAGCCAGCCTTGCCCCTTTCTGCTCATCCTGTCAGTGACTACATCCTTCAGCGAAAACAGTGAGCAGATGCCAAAGAAAGCACCATTATCAATTGCACCAGAACGACAACCCACAGCCAACCCACAGCACATGAAGGAGGTGTCCGCATCAGACAACACAGAAGTCTCACAGGTAAGACTGACCTCAGGCAACGCGTTCACAGCAGGGGGCAACAGCCCAAATTTGCAAAACATTACGTAGGATGCCCAGGCTTACAACTGAACTGGAAGTCAGGTACCTAGTCTGCACAGGTGTTTATGAAAATCCCAGGAAGCATTGACCAGTTTAGATAATTTTACACCTCTAAAGGACTTGCTATTAGCATCTGTAGTGCTTGCGAAAATTGAAAATGGTATTTAAGTGCTTTTTAAAGTTTTACCTGCTCCAAGAAATTTGCAATTACAATACAGATCAGACCAAAACTACAGCTCTTTCCTTGAAGTCCACTGTGGGTTGAATTTCCCTGAAATTTTCCTCACATACCTATCCGAGCAGTGACATCCAAGCACTCCTAGACTGATTTCCAAATCCAACCTCCAACAAAGCAGACTGAGTGTTTGTTTTGTTTAAAGCCACTGTAAGGAAAAGTGTCAACCCTCATACAAAGTGTGGGAATTCAGTTCAGGCCCACCTCAAGACCGCGTGCTGAAAGGTAGGGGCAACAAGTAAACCTGGCACTAGAGCATCCAGCAGAACTTCTCTTGTGTGTGCAGTCACTCAGAAACGTATGCCTTCGCTACCGGTTGGGGAAACGAGAAACATTTAGAAATGCCCAACAATAAATCATTTAAATCTATCAATGTATAAAATGGAACAGTTAACCACTAAAGCAATGCAGGGGCGGGAGGGGGGATAAACAGATATAAATTGTGTAACCGTTGCAATCAAAGGAATACATCATGTAGAAACTATGTCCTGTGTGTGAGGTTTTATTATGTAGCCACTACGGAGCAGAAGTTAAGAAGATCTCCATGTCCTGCCAATGCAGCAAGCCAAGTACGGCTGCAGCCATGCACCGGGACTGACTGTGGGCACTCAGTTGTGGCTTTTTAAATTTTACAGTCTTTGCTTCATGGAAACTCCCAGGGGAATTTCCTGCTGGACTACCTGCAAGTTGTGTTTTGGCTCAGTAAAAACTGGAGGCTCAAATTATTCGTGTGTAAACAGCTTCTCTAAATGTTTCCATTTAAACAAACTCTCTGAATAATTTAGTGCACTTAAACAGTCAGCAAAAATAACTGTAACTTTCCTAATCTCGTTACAAAACAATGGCCAAAACACCACATGGGCCTTTAAAAAAAACATTTTTACTAAAGCTGAATTTTCCTTTAAACCATCTCTGGACAAAGTCTGCAAAACAATTAACTGGTAGATCATATTCATAAATATGAAGCAAGCCCTAAAATGCTTTATTCAGAGTTTGTGAAGGCTTGCTTGAAGTATTTGTGTTTAATTATCACTGGTAATTTGAAGCCTCAGCCTTGAAAGTACCCAAGCTAAGCACCTGGTTTTCAGTGACACTGAGCTGCTGCTTATCAATCGCAAATATCCTTAGAATAATAAGCCATAAACCATAAAAATGTAATTTTTTAGTACTTTTCCATACATCAGTCCCAATAACTCTTAATATTAAGGGCTTACAACAGAACATGGCTGAGATCATACACAAACAGTTTAGAAGAATTTAAATAAAATAACCACATTTTAAAGAGGTGTCCCCTGCAGCTAAAGAAGTTCAAAAAAACCATTCAAATAAGCAAGTAACATTTTTTTACATTTACAAATGAAACATCATATGAGTATTTATTGATTTTTTTTAAAAATTCAAAAATACATTGTAACAGAACAGAATGTATACGTTCGTCAATGAAAGACAAAACTATGGTTATCATCCGGACCAGAATACAAATACATGCTAACAATTTAAAAATCATTTTGGGTCATTCAGGAAACATGAAACAAGCTAGCTGTTTGCAAATGCAGTAGTTTTCTACTTCGTAAATATGCCTGAGAAAGTTAACCTGTAAAGAAATCGGCTTTTAAACTCTTAAACACAAAGAGCTTTCTAGGCTGAAATGGTGAAGAGACCTGTGATATGCACCTGACAGGCCACTGAGCCATTTCCCACAGAGATTCTGTTCACTGCTCCACCTCGGCTCAGCCACCCGGCAGTGGCAGAGTTTCACATCGGTACCAGGCTTATTCAAGCGAGGTGTTAAAAAGCATGCTAAGGTGATGTAAAACCATCGGTTACATACACAGCGGATCGATGTTAATAATCAAGATTCTGTACCAAACCCCTTGGTTTGTAACAGGGCCAAGTAAAAAGTAGTAGTCTAGTTTACGGATGAAACAGATTATATTTTTTTGGCTCAAGATAAGACCCTTTAAAAACAATTTCTACATAAGCATCTAGAATCAAAGCATGAAAAAAACCAGGACAAACACAACTAATCATTTTACAGTAACCACATACTGTAGGAATCAAAACAGTAACATAAATTGTGCATCGGCTCTATGAAAATAAAGTGTTACTAGTAGACACAAGCAATCTGACAAGATGTGAAAGCGAGCAGTGAAAACTTCACGGATTGAATTTCTTTTCATTGGAATTCATCTGTTTCTACTGCAGGCAGGTAACAAAAGGAACCCAGGAAAACTGAATTCCTACTAGCAGCTTAACTCTACTACAGTGAGGCTTAGGCTTTTACCGTTTCTTGCATTAAGAGACATTCAAACTAATGAATCAAAAATGACATTTTAAAAATGAAGACCAAAAGGAAGCTGAATGTACATTTTAGACAGAAACAGCGTTAGGTCAAGTCCACATATCCGATGTACGCAAATGTAATTTAACTATGCTGCTTAAGCCAACAGAACATCTGACACTATTTCTCGAATTCTAGCAGCCTCTTTTAAATCACTTCCAACAACTGCATACTTTGTAAATTACATGGGCTTTGATGAAAAAAATCATTACCAGGCATGCAAAAATTCTAACAGAAACCTCCCATTTCCAGAATTTAGTTACATGATCAAATTACATATGCTAGAACATACGAAACCCACTTTTCAAATGAAACAAATTCACAACTCTGAAAAGGAAAAAAAAAAAAAGCCCAAACCAAAAACCTACGACAGGAAAAAAGAATGTTTCTACATAGCTGGTCCTATCCTCCAATGGTGCAACACTGTAAAAGGAGTTACTATCCATACACGCATGTAATTTTGCATGTAACGGTGATCGGGAAGAGGTTTCCTTTTCCCATCTTCCACACTGCAGAAATGACTGGATGTACTACAGAGGCTGTCACTGTCCTATGAAATGTAGGGTATTCACCATCGCTGGGTAGAGGTCAGCAGCGCTGAGGGACTCATGTGCTGACCCAGCGCAGTACATCTTACATTCTCTAGTACTGACTGTGATGTCAAAAACATTCTGCATTGCTCTGACGCCAGGTCTGCTCCTAGGCTGCACCTTCTGATCAAAACGTTGTTCTACAGGTTACAGCTAAGAGGTGCAGGGTGGGAAGCAGAGTAACGGCTTTAATGTCCTGGCCCAGAAGACAAACGCAAAGTCAAGGTGGTGCGTCGGTACCTTCTGGGTCAGAGACGAAAAGAGAAACCAACACCAGAGCAGTATGCAAAGCTTCTAATGCCAAGAGGTGAAGACTCTCAAAGAAGTGCAAGTAAAAAGCATAATTTAAGCCTGCAATTATTTAAGGAGAATAAACAAAGGAGAGGAAGATGGCCTGCAGTAAGGTGAATGGAAGGAAGGAACAAAAAAGAGAAGGAGGGACACGTATATTGGTGCAGGGTTGTATCTCCTGGACCCAGAAACTGCCTTGGACACCAGCTAATTTTACAAGATAAGTTACATGCATGCCCACATTCAAGAGGGCAAGAGTGAAACCTTGATGGCAATGCTATGATTCTGGCTGAAGAGCTTCATTTTCCCCCTCCCATACCTGAAAGCCTTGAATCCTTGCCAAATACTCCAGCTGTTTTGAAGGCTGCACTGCAGAACAGGGGGAAGCAGGAGATATTCCTTTTAGACCTATGGCTTCAGCAGTTGGGGATGTTCCATTCATGAGAAGTTCCCTGGCAATCGTAGCTGTGCTATTTGTTGTAGGAGATACGCTGAAGAAAGAGCTAGAAGTCTGGCTCATTTCTTTGGACGACAAATAGCTTACAGTGGTACCAGGGGCTGATTTGTTGCGGCTTGCTTCCATCTCTTGATAAACATCAGGAGAGAGATGGAGTATTCCCTTTGGTGCTGAAAGTAAAAGCAAAGATCATTCTCATTACTCTGGAATGGGTTTGACACATAGGCTATTTTCATTAACGTACTTTGCAGTGGAAAACAAAGTAAGCACTTAAAAGCAGAATCCTTCTTCTGCAGTAACTGTAAATGAAACTGCATAATTTATTTAGAAACAAAGCACATCTGAAGCACCCCTCTTCTTCCTCTTCTCCCACTCTTTTTAAGAAGGTACAAACCTGGACTTTAAAACTGTGGCTAGCACAGAATACACAGCACAAACAAATAAGGTTCGGAGATCTACAAACCACGAAGAACAGCTGCTGCTTCCAAATAGTAGCATGCTCATTATTTCACTATGATCTTCTGCTTCCTACCTGATACAGTAATTTAGGCTGCTGTTTGACAAATAATTTTAACCAGCCTACGTCAGCACTGCCGCCACCAGAAGAAGTCCTTCCCTCTCCCACCGCCAGCTGCTGTTTGTACTCTCCAGCTGCTCTACTGCTTGTGCCAGCACCGGCACCTGTAGGACCACACAGTGATGCTCGTGAGAAGGAGCTGTCGGAGGCAGAAGAAGGGCAGGACAACTTCTTGCGGTAGCAGCACTGCCTCAAGTCCTGGCTTACACCATTCGCTGAATTAAAACAGCAGCCTGTGCTTAAATAACCTTAAACTGCCCTGCAGCCACATCGTTACTGTGCTAATGACTCTTACGAGATTGACTGTTCGGCAATGAAGAAGAATTTATTTATTTATTTAGCTGCATGTATGGCATCCTATAGTTTGCAAATAGCTACTTGCCTTGGACAACGTTCATATTGAACAACGAAAATATGTAGGTGTCATCATGAATATCAACCCTAAACCTGCTTGAAACCAGGAGTACATACTTGACCAGTTTTGCTAATACTCCTATGCATGGAAATGCGCAGAATTAAGGCTGAAATTTGCTAGTTGTCATAGACAATGAAGTTTTTGTTGGAAACACGAGTACCCAGTTTGCTGATACAAGAGGAAAACCTTTCTTATTATTAATAAATTGAAAAATGAGCTTGAAATGTGTAATTTCATATTAACAGCATACTTCAATCTTCTAGTATATATCTGAATATAATATGGATGAACCTGAGCCATATGGCAGTTCATTCTAGGGCTGATAAACCTGTTTGTTAACTGATTTAGTAATCCCAAGAGAAATCAAAGGCTTCAATGCTTAATTCATTTGCAGTACATATTAAATTAATCTCAGAATATAGACTAAATTCAAAGAAGAGAAGAAAATTAATTTCCAGTTACCTAGAAAGGTTCCTCTAATTCTAGTAGTGCAAGTAGTATTTTTAAATAAAACATCTACCACAAGGAGAAGACTCAAAAAATATTACCAGTAATTAATATCCTCATTTTCAACTACATGGTGAAAATCGAACTTCCTCACTGCTGACTCCGCAAACTGCTTACAGGTGAATCTTTTAATCGATTTACTCACACATTTGGCTTTTAAATGAATATTGCTTTCAGAAAGCTGGAACATCAGCTTACACCATTCACAACGTCACAAAGAGGTTTCTGTTATTCACCCGAGTGCTCTCCCCACCTGCCTTCGTGGGCTGGCGAGCCTGGCTGGACCCTGAACTCTAACCTCAGAGGTGTTTTACCCAGTCTTAAAACTGGATCCAAAGCCAGTGGACCCTGCACTGAACTCTAGAGCTAAGCGCAAATTCAAGACAATGCTACGGGGAAAGATGGAGAACAGGGTTCCTAAAATTTCTTTTTCTTCATTTGCAACAATTTAGAATATAAACTTATAGATAACAACAATGGTGTAAACATGCAGCATTATTTTATAGCGCATAATCACTATATTATAGAGTGATTCTATACCCTTTTTCTGAGGCTATAATCTCCAAGGCCTATCACTGCTCATAAACAGTTTTACACAAGAGGTAACATGAATTAAAATGAAGATAGATAATACAGATATTGATAATTGGTGATAGGTTACAAAACCAAACAGCAGCAATAACACTGAGTGGCAGGTGTTCAGCACCTCCTAAGACCTGCCCCTGTAACTCTGATTTCCTACAAATATTCGAGAAACAGAAATGAAAACTGAATGAAAGGTAAAACAGCATACTTGTTTAGAAATAATACGATATTAGCCACCCCAAATCAATTTGAGAAGAACATAGTACAACATTAACTTAAAAAAAGTTTAAAGACATTTAAAACCAAGTCCAGTGCTGCAGATGTCTGCTCCATTGATGTAATATTACTTAAAACAAACATTTTAGATGCTTTCTCAGCCGTTTCACTGTTTTTACATGATCCACCCAAATATCTAACTGCTGTCTGGAACAATGGCTTGGAACAGTTCCAGATTACTAAGCTTTCTAAATGTTAAAATAACTAATATGCAGCATATGATGAATAAAAAGATATTGAACAGAGTATAGCAAATGCTCCTAAAGTACTGACTTTACTCTAATGGTGATGTTAAATTAATAATAGTACTTTTACACTTATGCAACACCTTTCTGCTAAAGACTTCAAAGTGCTTCATAAGCAATAATTAATTTAAATCATACATTGGCTCTGAGAGGCAGATATTATATTACCATCATTGATTATCTCTAGAAACAACGTAATGTAATATTCCAGACATTACATTAACATAGTTGCAAGCTATTAACTTTTTATATTCAGGGCCTATGTTTCATTAAGCTTCTTACAAACTTGTTTTAAAAAGCCAATAAAAACTTGGTCTCTTTGAAAACTTCTATCAAGCATATATTAGTTGTAATTCATTATCTACTTTTAATGTATTATTGCCAATTTTTTAAAATATCATTCCTCACTGTTGCCTGCTTACTTCAACTCTGTTGAATTGTAGAAGAGTGTGTGTGTGTGTGTGTGTATATATATATATATATATACATAAAAACAGTTTAATTACAGTAGTAAAGATGTTATCACAAGACAAGGAGTATGACATCAACACAGGATTAAGTGTAAGAACAAAAGAGCTGTTGAGAAATTATCTTGATTAGTCTCCAAATAATCACTTTAATAAAAAACACGGGAGAAAGAAATACTATCCTCTAACACCTTTTTGCATTGCAGGAGAACATCTCTAGGTAAGTATTTTCATATTGTTGTTAGTCTTTCAGCTAAAAAAAAAATGAATTTTGTCTCTGCTGAATAGTTATCCCATACTATCTTCACCATACTCCAAAGGTATATAATTATTAGGAATCACAGGATCTATAATACTACCATTCAGACCAACAACATTGTACCTTCTGCTGGACATAACTTAAGAGGTACATTCATGAAACATGTTAAAATAATTTCCATTTATATTATTTAAACCTGTGGGCAAACGTGCTATAAAAATATGCAGGCTAGCTATGCGATGTAATCAGTAACATTTGAAAAACATGTCTTATTCATCCTTGGCGGTAATTGTTAGCAGTCTCGCACAATCTTCTGAAGTCTCCGCAACCCCCACACCAAAGACCTGTCTTACCTAAGAATAAATTTCTTGATCTTCCATTGTCTACTTTTGCTGTCACATACTAGACCACTGCAAAACAGTTTAGACTCCAAGGCAAATGTACGAATAAGGTACAAAACAGCCCAGCTATCCTTCACAAATCTTCTCCTTGAAGTATAATCTTGATGTTTTGATTCCACTTCTTTTCATAGCAGCAGTAGTAGACGCAGTCTCCAAAAATCTGTTGGAGTGTTTTTTTTTTTATCCCTAACTCTTTCTCTGTATGGTCCCCTTGGCTGGGAACACAGGAGGACCTGCTCAAAGTTGGCCTTCTGGGCTGTCAGTGCACATTGCCAGTTCATGTCCAGCTTTTTGTCCATCAGTACCCCCAAGTCCCTCTTGGCAGGGCTGCTCTTGATCCTTTCTTCCCCCAGCCTGTATTGATACCGGGGGTTACCCCAGCCCAGGTGCAGAACCTTGCACTTGGCCTTGTTGAACCTCATGAGATTTACATAGGCCCACCTCTCCATGAAGGAATACTTTCATGTCTTGTGTAATAATGAAAAGTAAACCATGATATAATTCTGTATATGACATGCTCATACATTAAGTTTAACACCATGATATTTGAAATAACCCATCACTGGATGAAAAAAAAGATTGTTCATGAAGACATAATCAGGACTTTTGGAACTGAATACAATACTCAATACATAATAATCAAAAAGCTTTCTTTCAGATTATGCTACCTGTATTGACATTGAATAAAGCCTTCTTATATTGTGCTGCTTAAAATACGTGGCAAAATCTTGTAGTAAGGCATTAAGAAGGAAAAACTAGACCCATATCTAAACCTGACTTCATTATTACGTAAGTTAAAATGGACAAAACCTTAAGAGGCATGGAGGACTTTCACATACAACAATTCCTCCATAGAACTGGCAGATTTTCAACAAGTCCTAGAGTATGGCCCATTACAAATCCCATGAGAGCAAAAAAGAGAATTTAGAAAACCAAGTAACTATTCCAATAACAAGACTGAAAAACATAAATATTATCACAAAGAGAAATTATCATTTTATACTCCACTCACTGTAAAAGCCTATTTA